ACCGTCGAGGTATATTGCGCGCTTGATTTGCTATGAGCCGGTAATAGACACATCACACGCTGACTTGTCCACACACACACACGCCCTCCCCACTTGTTTCTCACTGTATGTCCGCATGAACCTGGTCCTGCAATCAACATGATGGTCCTGCTGCTGCTGCTACTGCCGGAGTTGAGTACCTTCAAGAGCTGCGATTACTGGCGGGTGCCTGAGGCAAATTTCTTGCGAATCTGTGTATGGCAAGGAGCAGAGGTGCGGTTAGGCCAGAGGTGAAGCCAGTGCGGCGGCGGTGGTCGTGGAACTGGTGGCGGTGGATGGCGCGATGGACATGGATAGGGTGTCTATATTTTAGATTCGGCCCCGGTGACCTATTTCCATGTGGGTTCGAGCCCCACCGTGATCGAGGCTACAGCCGAGCTCGCGGCTAAAGCTTCACCTTGTCAACACCTCTCTATTTTCTCGTTTTTATCCAATAGATATGTCTAGCAGAAGATAAGGAGAAACTGCAGTAGCAGCAAAGTGCGGTTGTCCGATACGCGCTGGATGAGAAGCGGCGCCAGTAAGCGCCACATCCAGGCCGCGTGCCGTTGGTGTGTAAGTATTTCAACAGTTCGTAGCGCCCGCGTGCGCTTTGGTCGTCAAGCCCTGCACCCGCGTCGGCTCCCTTGTTGTGTGCACTTCGGTATCTTACCGTTACATTGCCACCATTTATCTATGACGCGGCAATTGTCATTTTATTTTTTTGAAAATTCGGACTGGAAAATTCACCGGCAAAATTGAAAATAAACACAGGAAGGCAGGATCTGCCAGGTAGCGGCTGCAGGGTGAAGATATGACCCCCCTGTCCCACACATCATACATACACTCTCTTGTACTTGGATGTGTCGGATCGTCTGTCTTGCAGCCACCCTGTGGACCACTATCAGGCTACCGCAGCTCGGTCGGCATCATGAAGGCAGCTGCTGATTACATATTGTCACTTGGTGTTGGGATGACAGCAGAGTGATGGAGCTGATCTTGAACTTGTTGGAGCAAGGGATGGATGGCAACAAGTGATAGGGAACGGAAATGTGGCGGGAAGGGGCTAATGGGCGAGGGTGAACGGGAGGGATATAGGGTGATAGGGAGCTGGGCGGTGCACGATCTCGCTGCTCACAGCAGTGCTGGGTGACAATGATGGTGCATCGATGGATGACCTCGAAAGAAGAAGCTACGGATGGCTTAGCCCTGTCAAAGGAAAGCTCCCCATGATAGTTCCATGGCGCCCTTGTTCGGGCCGCAGTTCCTTTTGTAAGCAAACGTGACTTAAAGCACCTTAGATACTCAAGAAGAACTTCAAGAACCATAACGCTGTATCAATAGCTCTTGGCACTTCCGCCATGGGCAGATTACGTCAATCGCCCGCTATGCCACACAAGCAAAAATGAAGCAACGGCCTTCATGATAACTTGACCTGTTGTTTGCAAGGGCTTGCACTTAGGGATCTTGCTTCCGGGGAGGACGTAACCAGGTGCAGAGGAACGGAGGTGAACGTGATAATGCAGTGACATACAGCTATAATATAAAAGTTAAATAGGCTAACTGTCGACAAAGTGAGTTCGCCGAACTGCACCTTACCAACACACTTGGATTTGCAGCTGTTGCGCCGTACAATTTAGCTGGCCTCTGACAAAAGGCACCTCCCATAGCACTTCCAGCTCCATTAGCAAATGTGCACAACGTCCGATATTTGATCACAGGCTTTCACCCAACGTTTGAGCCCTTCTTTTCGGCCTGTTCCAGCTCTGGTGCGT